ATACACTTTTATACATGAAACTACAACATTATACAAACTGCAGAAACAAGGTAGATATAGTCAACTCGCCAGCTCCATCCTGTGTGCAAGCAGTCAATATGGTACCCTTATATGCTGCTTTAAGGAAACTTCCGTCAACAACCATTATCGGTCTACAATGCTCCCAACCCTTGATAGATGCATATAGCGAAACATATGCATAAAGAAAGCATCCATCTTCTGATTTGTGCAACTTTGTAACCGTTCCTGGATTTGTATGCTCCAACATATACAAATACCTCGGCAACTCCTTATATGAATCGCTCGGATTCCCTCTTATCAATGCCATTGCTATCTCTTTAGCTCTCCATGCTTTCATGTAGCTCTCTTCAACCCCGTGTTGCTTTTGTATGTCCTCTATTATATCATTTGCGGTGTAAATTTTTTTTGGATTAACATAATTGTCCTTGACTATACTAGCAATTACACTCGAAGTAGCTTGACGTTGTGTTAAGTATCTTTCACCATAGCCGCATGTGTGATTATTATTGTAACTTCTCACCTTGAATATGTTTTCCTTGTAAATGGCAGAAGATTTGAAACTCCAAGCACAATTGTCATCCACACACATAAAGTGATACCTAGGATTAAAGATCATTCAACTTCTAAATACACTTGTATACAAAAACATAACTAGATATATACTACTTTATACATATTTATACATATACTTAACAGAATATACAACTATTGCCATACCTTGTTGCGCTTGATCTCTTCACCTTGAATTGGAACCTCTCGCGTACAGCCAAGTTCTTCATCACACTAACAACTGTCTCTTTATCCTTATAAACTTGATCTTCCTCAACAAATTCGTTCAACATATCATCTATTATACCCGTATTTTCATTAAATTTTGTGTTTTCAATAAATTCGATATCAGGCATAATCTCAGTGCTATCAATTGTGGATACATCTATACAATTGGAACTTGTAGCAACCAAACAACTGGAACTTGTACCAACCAAACAACTGGAACTTGCACCAACCAAACGATTATCATAAACCTCTTTCACCGTCACATACAACGGGTATTCAGTGAAATTCAAGTTTTTCTTCTTTAATTCGATATACACCTTAACACCTGTATTGTTGTAAATCAGGATCGGTGGCAAATCATCCTTTGAGAGAAAGTTAATCTCCAATGTGTTTAACTCACAATCGATTCTAATTTGTTCCGAAATAGCTGCAACTAAATTGTTGTAGCTGAATGTCGACTCGATTATTACACAATCGCTGACGAAATTGATAAACTTGTTTTCTTCCTATTCACCACTATGAAGAACGTAAACTGAAAAAAGCTCCATCGAACAAAAAGTTGAAATCAAAATTGCAGCAAAAATGAAAATTGCGCTGATTGCAGCAAAAAAATTTCACTTTTCGTGTTAGATTCGCTGTTAATTCGAGATGAAGAACAATTTCTAGGGTTTTTGGAGTTGCATTGACCGCAAGATCACGATTTTGTAGATTTGGTAAGAAGAATGGAAAGAATGAGAGAAAATCCCGCTGAAAGATATAAAATCCTACTTCTGAATCCCAAAAAACGGAAATAACACCCCTCTTATCGGATATGGGCCTGTTATTTTTGGGCTACTCAATTGTAAATTGAAATATGGGCTATAAAGTTGAAAAATAGGCAGCCCATTTGTTTTAATATGAAATTTTCTCTAAAAGAATATATAATTTTTAACCCGACTCCTCCAAACTCGAACAAGTGGAGTACATTTTTTGTTTGGCTAAAATTTATTGTAGTTCGAGCAGAAATGGAATCAGAAATTCTGGTGAGGAGATTCTAAAATATTAAAAATGCTGTATTTTTTATTTCAACATGTATTTTCTCTTATGCTAAGGAGATTTTAAATTCTATATATATGTAAAAATTTATTTTTATCTTATATTTGCGCAGTATAACTTTCTGCCAAACAAAATTCAATTTGAATCCCTCAGGTTGCATGTGGCTCCGCTATATATTGAGGTCAAGCAATAGCTATCAAGTTTACCCATATGAACAAACTAGTATGTCGACCCTAGTCCGCTTTGTGTCTTGGTTATTGGATACTAATACGTGCCTTGACGTTATCACAGAGGTATGGTTCGATGGTTGAGATCCTTTCACCTTAAATAAAAGTCTCGGATTTAAATATTAGAAATAAACAGAACTTTTTGATAGAAAGAGATTTACTACCTTAATTGGTTACCCGACATAAATTTGAATTAGTCAAATAAGTGAGCTTCGAATATTAGATGGTTTAATAGAGGAATTTTCAGAAACCACTATTGTTTAGTGACTATTAACTTTTTATAGCTACTATATACGTAATTACTTCCTATAGCTATTATTTAGTTGTTACGCGACTGTATTCGCGCTACTGTACTCATGAATACAATAGCAGAATTCGACTGTATTGAAAAAATACAGACCTTCGGAATACATAAATACATGCAAAAATTAGTATTAATACAAAATAATAATAGTATTTGTAGTGGATTTGTACGTATTAGTATCATCATATGTGACTAAATAAGCAAAGAAGAGAAGAAAGTTACGCCAGAGATGGCTTTTTCGGTCCAACGCAAAATAACTGTATACATTGTATTAGAACTAAAATAGGAGACGAACAAAAATACCGGCCTCAAATCTCTCCGCGTAGCCATGGCCAGATCTGTTCGCCTAAG